TAAGTTAGTTGAATATAATCCAAAAAAAAACCCATCAAGAAATGAGAAGAAACATTTAAAACAATACATCTGGATCCAAAGTAGTCATGCATTGTTATTCTGTGTCATTTTTCAATAATAATACATTGATAAAAGTGTTTCCTTATTTCATATTTCATTTTGATATGAATTATTTACACACACACACACACACAGATACATGCATACACAGATGATTTGGAATACGGAATCAAATTAGAATATATATATGCTCACTCTTTCTTTTCTGAAGTATATATATATATAACAAAACTATAGAAGGATAGAGAGGGGGAGTAAGATTTAGTATCTTAATAATACATAGTTTTAACATTGAATACACTGAAAAGAATCACAATACATTCTTAATTTTCTAAATAATTATTGTAAAATTATCATTGATGTAAATGGGTACCATTTTTACTCTTCTCATTACCGCTTATCATTTCTTTCTTAATGTTCAGTATTTCTCTTAGATAGAAAAAATGTTCTAAAAAGGAATAGAATGGTATTGATGCAATACGTCTGTAGACCACTTTACAAAGGTGATTTAAATAAAAGCGAAAATAATGATTACATAACATTTTAGCATCTTATGAAAATAGAAATTAAGATGGATGGGAGAGAGAAAATCAATGGGATAGCATAATATATATGATGATGATACAATGACATGAAAGAATAGTTCCCTCTGATTTCTTTTTTCGTTTCTTCTCTCTTTAATAGTGAATGTCTTTGACTAGATTGTTTTTTTCTCCCTGTATAAACAATGAAAATATTTGTAAGACAATATTACTTACATACATTAATAAGTAGGTCAAAAGAGTAAATTATTAGTAGTAGGTGATAACACCCCTACATTTCAGCTATATCGGATGATAAAGCCTTTCGAAGCATCTGATTGGCTTATTTGAATAGTATGATTTACCCGAGTGGAACACATATACCCGGGTCAGGAAATATGTTCTCGGTTGGAAACCGTAGGTTAAAAAACTCAAACAGATTGAATTCTCTTTACTTCACATGTACATTTACACCTAAAATAATTAGATAGATCAATATATGCACTCCATAGCATACACATAAGGATAAACATCATTGTTAATAGAGTAAAAAGGTCTCCATTCCGATATTTTAGATATGTTATTGTTAATGATTAGCAATACTGACTGTTCTATTCAAGTATACATGTATGCCTGAAATACATAGGTCAAATAGACCTTTGAATCTCATAGGTATGTATGTGCTCTTGTATCCAGAGTGAGTAAAATATTGTTAATCCGGAATTACGATAGAGTAGTGGATTAGGTTAATCTTCATGGTTCGCTCATAGTCCCATTATTCATCAAGCAACGAGAGAGAGTATGGGTAGGATATATGTTGATAACATTTATCAACATAGAAGTAAATAACATCTCGCGAAAATTCCATCAACTGATTACATAATTTTTAACTCTTTCATATGATATTTTACAATAAAATAAATAATGCATTAATAGCTCAACAGAATTATAAGCAGCTGATGAATGTTATTTAAAAAACGAAACTATTGTCAAGTAAATTATTCCATCAATTTCGTTCAATTATTATCTGTTACAAAAGAAAAATATACAAAGTTTATACTGATCCCGCTTACGGGATTGTGGATGAGCGTTGTTGATGTGTCCCATACTAGGACGAAACGGCCATCCAGTACATCCAAGATTTCTATAATAGTCTTTATTTATCTGTTTGAACAAATAGAATTTGGTACAAGGGGGCAACAAATACATAGGGCTGTGATACTGCCCAGGTTTCCAGACCGAAGCAGGTGCTTTTCTTATGAGACCACACCCGGAGCCTTTGATCTAAAGGTCTGATCCACAAGGCAGTGGAGCATCATGAGGAGATGCAGTCTCATAGTAGCCGGTGACAAACAATTGGTTCATACGCCATTTGTTCACTCAGGATACTGGAGCCCATGTGCACCATTGGTTTGTGATCCGGTTAAAGCACCGGACATTCGTTTTTCGTCCTCTCATTTCCGTAAACAACACCCCTGCTACGAGAAGGCAGTGAGTAGGACTTCTCTGGTAGAGGCTATACACGTGTGGCCGTGTGGGAGCATTTCGAGAGGGATGGCGGGCTCACCCCACTCTCGGCCATACCAGGGCATTTGGGGGCTTTATAATGGTCTAGTTTCGATTGATCCATAAATTCAATTATTCAAATCACTACAATCTTCACAAAACTCCCTTTCTGAAAAATTGAAATCTTGAAAATAATCAAATAATATTTTTGTTCAATTATTCATAATAATTCAATTATACAATTAACTTGTTTTAACTAATTATTTCCCAATTTGTTAAATATCGATTGATCAATCAGAATACGAAATCACCCAATATGATTATTATTATTATTATTATTATTATTATTATTATTATCGTAGTCTTCAGTTAACGTCCGCATGCACACAAACGCACACATGGAAACACGCCTATTACATGGTTTGTAAAACACTATGTATACATCAATTTAATTTAGATAAATCTAAGACAGATATCTTCTTGTAATTTTATCAGTTCTATCTAATTTTATCAATGTGTTTATCTAGTTTAATGTGTGTACCAATGAAAAACATAAGGCTAGTCATATTGTTCAATTCTGTGTTCTTGTTGTTGTTGTTGTTGTTTTTTAAATGTAGTTTAAGCATGATTTATCTTATTTTTCAATTAATCTAGTGTTTGTAATTCTTTTTGATGAGGCACCGAATGTCTGAAAAATTCTTTGTTTTAGTCTTTTATGTTTCTAACAATATAATAAGAATATTTAAAGTAAAATATGCGAACTTTTTCTTAGTTAATTGTGTTTTGTATGTTACTGTATACAGTGGTATTTTGTAGAATAGAGAATGGGATAAATAATTCTATTCGGAATGATAGCCAAATCGCCTTCAGTATATACATAGATATAGATATATATATATAAATACTCGTGTGTATGTGGTGTGTGTGTGTGTATGTAAGAGTGAGTGAGTGAGTGGGCACTTGACTTAGTGAATGTATGCTACTGAATACATACACTAATATATCGAATAATGAACTGTCATCTTTTATGATTTGCTTTTCAAACATATTCGCAATACGCATATTATTGATATATATGTATACGTGTACACTCTTCTTTATACACGCGTACATGGTTACGGATAATTTGAAGAGGAAAAAAGTGGACAGACAATAAATATACGAATATACAAACTTTCGTATCATATTTACAAAGTCAGTTTTTATAGAAGAAACCATTAAGTCAATCGACCAGATTACAATAAAATCATAGAAACTAACATATTAGTGAACATACACTACCATTAATAATATTCATACTATTTCTCTTATCAAAAATTTAGTTAGTAGTAGTAATCATAACAAAGGAATAAATAACAAAAAGAACTACATCGAGTAAAAAAAAGCAAGAAAGAGACACTAAAAGATATGGGTAAAGAAAATCGAACTCATGATGAAAGAATTTTGTTTTGTTTTTTCAAAATATTTTTTGCCTATTTTCTTGTTTATTTGACTTAATACGTTTTGACAGTTCGGGGTCAATCATCAACCAACCCATTTCATATACATTCAAATAATGGTGCGTATATATATATGCCTATATGTGTTGTACCATGATATACATGCATGTTTATATACATTTGATAAATTACTATAACTACATATGTTCTATATTGTTTTTGAGAGGATACTAGTTAAATGAAGTTGTACACGCAACTATGGATGGATGTATGTTTGAATACAAAATAGACATGAATATATGATAAATGGTCATGTTTTGTATGTGTTTATTTGCGTTGGTTTTTTGATGAGGTTGGATAGAGAAATCTAAACGGAACCAAATAACAACTGTTACAACAATAATAACAACAGTGTAGTAATATTCTTATTCACACTCCCTCCTAGAATATATTTCCTTTTAGAGGTTATGTGTTTGTATGCATTTTTGTAAGTCTTCCTCTCTCCCCCCTCTCTCTTTTTCTCCGCCTTCTATTTGCTTCCTTTTCTTAGAGCACTGAATAAAAAAATGATTAGGGAAATCGATTGTTTTTAAAGGAGAGAAAAATTATTCCTACCACTGTACATGATATTTATCTTCCCAGATTTAGTTTCTCCCCATTTTCTTCATTATTATTATTATTATTATTATTATTGTCGTATGTTGATGTGATCAACTCAATGATTAACAAAAGATTTCCACTATATCGTCATTAAAATTAATACTAACTGGTAAAGAAACATTATTAGTAGTATATATTTGTGAACGAAAGAAATAAATGAAAATTCCAACTTACGAAATTTGAAGACATTACGTAGATATATACTGTTGAACTGATTATTACTATTATTAGTATTTGATTACAGAATGTCTTGGAAGCATTATTCACGTATAATACAATCAATGACTTAGAAATTTTAAAGTTCGACATAGGATAGAAAAACACAAGACAATTAACAACTGGTTAACAGGATCCACATCAACTAAGTTGGTTAGGATATTATTTTGTGTAAGTATAAGTGGGGGATAATTTCAATGATGGTAATCATTTTTATGATTTTGTATGATTTCACGACTCCGAATGCGGGATTCGAAACCAGAACATTTGGCCTCGCATGCGAACCCAACCTCCCGCATGTGGGACCATGAGTGTATACTATTGAGGATTTCCATACTAGGACGAAAAGACCGTCCAGTGCTTTCAAGTTTTCAATGATGGTCCAAAATTGATAGATTCATGATCTCAATAAAAAATTCAACAATCTCCACAACCCCATCTTGACATAGAAGTACACTAAACTTCATAATAATAGCAATTCATATTATTGGAGGTTTTCTGCATTATTTTATTATCAACATTTTAAAATTGTAATTGATTGGTTAATCATAATCTTCCACTTTGTGATCCTTGTTTTTTATTTGTTTTCTTTTTTCAGAACTCTCCTGATACTTATACATCAATGCCTCGTATTTCAACTAATCGAAATACATCTGTATATTCTTCTTCTTCTTCTTCAAGTAATAAACAACTTAGCAATAGTAATAATATGACTAATACTAAAACATCACCAGCTGATGTAAATTCCACTTGTGATGAGCATAATAATAATTCTAATATAAATACTGTTCCTACTTCTATCACAACTACTTCAACATTAAACCTTCATAGTCATCATCCATATCATCCTGCCAATGTGTCGTCAACAACAACTTTGTCATCTTCAACATCATCGTCTATTTCCACTGCCTCCTTATCCACTTCATCTATTGATCCCGGTTTAGTAACGATGTCTAATTTAAATACAACATGTATTGGTACAGATCAGTCAACAGTAACAACACCAGCATTGTTGACAAATGAATCATCTAATTCATTATCGTCAAGATCATGTGATTCAACAACATCTAATCTTATTGTAAATTCTCCTAATCGTTCAGTAACGACAACAAATAATAACAACAATACTAATAATAATAATGTTAGCAGTAGTAATAGTACAACAAAACGCAAAAATAGTCCAACAACTACTGAAGATGATTTAACTACTGCCAATACAAATAATAGTAACAATAATAATAATATACAATCATACTATTCCACAACATATCCAAATACATCAACAATAGCTGTATCTAATAGTTTGATGCATAGTGGAATTTCTATCGCAACCGGTGGAATAAACAATAACACCAATACTATGAATAATAATAATTCCCACCGTTTATCTTCAAATAATCCTGTTACTGGTGGAACACATTCCCATTTAAACTATTCTGATATTAATTCAAGACATGTTGGCAATAATATGTCACAGTCGAATTTGTCTAATTCAACAGCGTCAGTGACAGCTTCCACTGGATCAGCAAGTATACCAGGTGGAGCCAATTCAGGATCTTTAAATAATGCTGTAAATATTGGACATGGTATGAACAATGCTGAAACAACTATTCATAAAGCAAGATCAGCTTTATATGAGTAAGTATATATTGTGGTTTTTAAAGATAAAAAATTATGTCTGTTTTATGAGTATATATGTCATAGTCTGGTATAATCAAAATCAGAAATTATTGGAAAAGCGTTTTGTCCTTGTCTGAATTTCGTCAGTAATGTGTATTTATAATCCCAAACAGAATGGAATCTAGGAAATAGAATTTTCTTAATATTTAAATTAGTTTTGAAAATCAGTCAACATACATGAACATGGAACTAACTATTCAGTGTTTCCTGATTACCAATTATTTTCTGTATGATCCCATTCTGCTACTAAAAACATATTCCATTTGTAAGGACTTCATAAATGTGCTGTTTAATATCATGTACTGAAATTAGTTAGACAAGTATTGTAAAACAATAACAATGGACAGATGTTTCGTCTTAGTATGGAACTCCACAGGAATAAGGAACCAAAACACCACCAAGTGTTGCACCCAGGACTTTTAGGTTTAGTGTTGGTTCGACGTATTTCATTACAATTAATATACTTTTTAAATTAAGCAAAATTGAAACTTCCTACATCTACATAAATATATAGTTTGTGAGAAGAAATGACATTGTGATATCACCAGGTCAAAACAACATGCATGTATCACTTCTACATGAAAGAGTATCATTCTTTTCAACTTACATAAACTCTTTGGTAAGTACATCACAACACTAGTGGGAGTTTCAAACAACGTAATTTTCCCAAAATACTAAATGATTCTAACGTTTCTTAGAACTATTGTAGTAAGCCCATTCAACTATTGTATTATTTATCTGCTCACTGTAATTTAGACACTTTATCCACCATGTAATTTTCTGTGTGAGTCTGATTGAGCACATGTCAATTTTTAACCTATTCTCCCATTGGTTGTAATACACAGACAATCAATAATTTATCCATACTTGATTAACACTCACAAATATATAAGGGTTTTTAACACTCACACACTCTTATTTTCCTTGTGTGCTTGCTTCCTGTACGCTTGCGAATTTTACCAATCTTTGACTATAAACTATCTCTATAACTGATGTTCAGGCTTTTGAATAATCTCGAGTAAATCCATAATTCCATTTAGAGATTTAGCCTGCATTAAATACTCAGTTAACGGGAGTCAGATATAGAGGAAATTTGCCTCTACACTATCAATCTCTATTCTACTAGTATCTAACAATTTTTTATTAGCATAGGTAAATTTTCCTTATCGTCCGAACTGTAAACTTAAAAAGAGTCGTACAACTATTGTTTTGTGTAAATGTTCTACCAGTATTGTACTCTGATTGAATAAACACTATGGAGCTCAATCTATTCTGGATTAAATTTAAGTTTGTTTAAATGAATCCATTTATACTGACGTAAATGATCTAATTACCTGTTTCATAAGAATCGATCTATCATATATTACTTGATTGGTTGAGATCAGTCTAGTCAACCAATCAGAATGATCGGATTACATGATTGGTTCAAAATTCAGATGGTTTTCTCATTATTTCCATATGTATTCAAATATTCACTTATATTCCTCTGATTTTTCAAATTACTTATTACTTTAACCATAGAAACGTTCATCTATTCACTAGTTAATTAAGTGTTTATGGATAGTTCAGTCCTGTTTGAAAGTCATTTTATTTAGGCAATGAAATCAACTGAGAGGGAAGATGTACTCATAGTTCCTTTTTATCCTAAGTTTTGAATGGTAAAACTATTTCACTGCTGTAATCTTATCAAAAGAGTCAAATTATATGATTTCATTCCATAGTAAAGTTGAGATCCAACTCTTATACTCTTAGTGTTATAATCCTATCAGTAATAGTTTTACGGATTTAGCTTGGAGATGGAAAAAGAAATTAAATGTTGCTAAAAATATAATCATTAATTGTAGATCAGTTGTCGGTTACCACAAACATCGACTGAAGAATTGGTAAAAATCTTTGTACTTGTTAATAATAATAATATGTATGTTCGTAGGTGATTTAAGATTGTCCTAAAGGGGGAATAAGAACTATTTCTTCATCTTAATGTTTCATACATTAACAACGGTTGTGCAATATTATACTTGACACATGAAATGACAGTGATTTACTTGATTTAATATAACTGGGTTTACAGGCGGAAGGTCCTGGTTTGGGGTTCCTCGTGTGATATCGTGGATGTGTACCATTGAGGAGTTCCGTACTAGGACGAAACGGTCGTCTAATGCTTCCACGTTTTCAATGATAATCTAACATAGATCCATTCATGACATCAATCTAAGTTTACTTTATGTTTAAAAGAATAAAAAAATCCTCGTTTATTTTAGTGATTTTAAAGATAATATCATTCCATAGGTTAAAGGAAGCTGGATCGTTATATTTTATTCAATCAACTAATATTGATCAGCTGCTTACTATAGGGTACGGCATCAGTTTATGAAGTTACTATTCTCTGGTCTAATTTATATTGCTAAATACAAACTGACCTATTGTAGGATCTATACCATATTTGTAACCAGTTGTTATCGACTGATTTACTCACTGAGTGACTGTTTAGTATCTGCATCCCAGAGTTGACATTCACTTCGGGACTCGAATCCAGTACCATTCGCTACAAACACCATCGTTTTATCCACTTAGTTACTGAATCCTGATAACCACTTGCTTGTGCAATGGGTTGAAGTTTAAATTCATTTTGTATTGTTTATTTTAATGTTGCGATTGATGTTTAGGACTGCAATTGATCAGTCTCCTTTCGGCATATATGCATCCTGTGTGGATTTACTCGATATTACATTAACTTACAAGCATTATAAGTAAAGATGGATAGTGATTAGCAGTGGAATTCAGGAATTTATGTAAATATTGGTTTGAAAAATGGAACCTATAGACAAAGAATAATCTTTGTCATGTTATCTTAATCCTATCTAGTTGTGATTTATCAAACGAATGAAAGTTTTTCTATATTTAACTATTGAACAGAATTTATGAATTCTATCTTCTTTCATAATCTGGTGTGATATTTAAAGATTCGACTTTGTGATACCATAAATTGTTGTCAATATTTAATGATTGTGACTTTATTTCACACACACACACAGACAGAGAGACACAAAATATCATCCTCATAACAATAAAGATCAGACTTAAAGTGTAGTGTAGAGAATTTTTCATACCGTTTGTATATACACATACATATCTATGTGTGTATATATAAGACAGTATAGTCGAATATATAGATAGATACAGGGAAATAAAAAGATAAGGCATTGATGTTTGGCTATTCAAACAATAACACCATAGATGGATATGTGCTTATTTATATGTTGGCGTTGTTGCTTCTACCATTATGGATGTTGTTAGTTTAAATTCTAAAATTCCATTTATCAAATCTGTCAAAATTAAACTATTTTACACAAGAGACTATCACAATGTTGTTTAACTTATATGAAATTTCTATACACATAAACAGGAATTGGTCATGTATGGCTGTAGGTGTATATATATATATGTGTGTGTATCGGTATGGTCCCCTTTCATTTTCACCTGTGATGGTTATTCTTAGTATCATATAATTTCTTTTTCAAAAAAAAATCATTCCATATTGCTTCTGCCTTTGCATAGGTATTTACGTATGCGTATGCGTATGTGTATACATGTAGGTTATAGAAAGAAATTCATCATGATAATACATAAGTTTTTCCCTTTCGGTTTCCCTTATTCTTTTCTGTCTTCCTATGTAGTAAACAATGATAAATTTTGTTTGTTTGTTTGTTTGTTTCATCGTTCATTAGCTTATATATATCTATTCATATCTGTTGTATTTCCGCTTGGAAATAGTAGTAGTAATATTAGTTATTATTAATATATGATAACTTGTTCTCATAACTTGTTCATCTAGTCACGTTAATTTAGCTACTAACGGAATAAAAAGGTAAAATTAGTTTCATTAAATTTCTTTCTTAATTTTTCATCCTACCGATACAGAATAACATAGTGTCCTTGTGTGTGTGTGTGTGTGTATATATGTGTATGTGCATGCATTTGTCACGAAGGTAACACATAAAAACAAAGTCACAAAAAGACAGAAGGCTAGAGCAATAACAAATATCGACACTTCCACTTATTTATTTATTTATTTCGATCTTATACTAAATAGGATTGGCGCGTTTCCATTCCCTTGTTTACTGTTATAATTTCTTCCCATTGCGTTCTTTTCCGATGATCTTATGTCAAGATAATTCGTTTTTCTACCAAAATTTTCCTGGTTAACATTCTTTTCAAGTTAAAACCCTATTATATATGTATATATACATATATATCCATAAAGCTATTAATCATTTATCTTCTGATGCTCTCTCTCTCTCTTTTCCCTCTTTCATTTCTACCTTCCCTCACCTTTCTTTTCTTCATATCCATTAGTTTCTATCATTATTTTCCACGCTCTTTCTTTCGTGTTTTTTTTCTATTTTTCATTCATTCTATAGGTATTATTATTGTGTTTTGCCTGACTTTTTTGCTACTGGAATCGATCAAATCGATCAAAAGAAATACACCTTAGAGATAAATAATATTTAGACTTAAAAACATATAGGTTAGGGTTGGGGGTGGGAAATGTGGAAAACTACAAGATATAGAAACAAACAAACTACTAGGCAAAAAAACCAACAAAACAATCTGAAGAGTTTCATTCTAAGTAATTTAAGATACCAAAAACAATTTGAAATTATGATCAGTGAAAGGAAATCTCTTTTATTGATACAATCATTATTAAGAAAATAAAGATTTATGTTTAACAATAAACATACATGGATATAGGATCTCAGATTTGTGGGGGGTTTTGGATTCACTATTATGAATGTGTTAGGTGAACTACGTGGTTTATATAATAAGTATGTACTTGAAATAAGATTTTCGAAAAATGTATTTTTTAAATGTGACATTTTAAAATCTAAGAACGAGAACTTCTTTTTTGAATATCTGCAATAATACAATGCCAGGATGATCACTGACTTCTTGTGTCC